CCGTCCTTCAGCTGCAAGTCTTGCAGTTATGGGTGTCCCAGCTCAGAGGGAGTGGCTGGGGCTGAGATTTCCACCCTGCCTGGGCACTTCATGCTAGCATGACCCATCAGCTGCTGGCTCTGAGCTTACTCCTCGTTCTTCTATCACTGTTGGAAGCCCATGGCCAGAAAGAACCTGATCCCAAGGTCCCAGGAGTGGCCCTGGAACCAGGTAAGAAAGGGTTCCTGCTTTCCCCTGAAGGGATTTTGCTGCTTCTCCCCCTGCAAGTTTGATAGGCATCTCGATCGCCTGCAGCCGGGAGCTGCCTGCTCTCTCTGGGCAGGAGCTATAGCCAGTGCGGGTGCCCTGAGGGTGGTGGGGAGAAGATGGGATTGCAGCAAGGCAGTTTGCCAGATGTATCTTGGAGGTTGCAGGTGGGAATCTGGCATGGATTTGAGCATCATGAATCAGGGGAAGCGTCTTCAGGGAGCAGGGCTGCCACTTTCTGTACACACCCCATCCTCAGGTGTGCCCAAGGGACACTGTGGCTGCTGAGAGCTGAACAAAAGTGATCTTGCTGTCAATTTTCCAGCTGGATGGGTTTGGGGAGCAGTAGGGTAGGTCCTGGCTGTGTGCCAGTGGGACCCAGCTGCTGGGTGTGGTGCTGAGCTGGGCATCTCTTGCCTTCTGTAACCAGGGCTGTTTGCGAGCAAAGCCTGACCATAAGTGGTTTGCTCACCAGCATGTCTGTACTTATTCAGCACTGTTCAGAGGGTGGTCTGAACCTTGTCACATCCCTTCTCTACCTCTCTGGGAGAAAAGAGCTTGTATTTTAAGCATGCTGAGGACTACCCAAGTCCCTTGAAAACAGTGGAACACGGAAGTGCTCCTTCCTAGGTGTGAGTATCCTTGATGGTAGGAATCATTGCCACAAAGCCTTCCCCTACAGCACACATCAAACTGCTGGCACAGTTTGTGCCTCTTCAGCCCAGAGGATAGTAAACGTGGTGAGGAAGGGATGTGGAGGAGGACGCAGGCATTGTGGCAGGGAAAAGGGCCAGGGGCTGTGTTAAAGCAAAGGATGTGCCTGGACAAGGCATTGCTCACCCCCATGTCCCATTGCATGGTAGCATGGAGCAGCAGAAGAGAAGCTGAGGGACTGACATAGCCAGCACAGGGACCCCAGAAATGTAACAGGTGTATGTGTGATCACTGTGGGAGATATGAGCCATGAATAGCAAGACATGCAACCCAGAAGGGCCAGTGGTGCTGTGGACCATCAAGGGCAGCCTGAGCTTGGGTGGGTGACATGTCTGAATGGGTGGCTGGAGGGAATTTCCTAGGGCAGAGAAAATCTCTTTTCCACCACTCACCCCTGCTGCACCTCATCACCTCCCAGCCCAACTAACAAGCACTTTCACCTCTACCAGAAATGTGCCAAAGACCTCGATGGGACTCAAGACTCCAATTGGCACCAGACCAGCAGAATTACAAGAAGAATGAAGAAGTGATGCTGAGTTGCATCGATGGTTTCCAGCCATCCTTCACCAGCGTCAAGTGTGGGAGTGAAGTCCGGTCCATCACTCATGGGAAACCTGTATACAGGGAAGTCTGGCTTGGAAGGGACAGCAAAGGTGTCTGGATTCGCATTCGGTCCAGAGTGGAGTGCCTGGGTAAGGGAGGCATGAGGAGCTCTCCTTTCTGGCCCCCCGGAGCAGGGGAAGCAGCAGGCTGTGTGTGCACAGGAGGTTTTGTGCTCTGCCTGCCTGGGGACACGGCAGGTGCGTTAAAGCAAAGGATGTGCCTGGACAAGGCATTGCTCACCCCCATGTCCCATTGCATGGTAGCATGGAGCAGCAGAAGAGAAGCTGAGGGACTGACATAGCCAGCACAGGGACCCCAGAAATGTAACAGGTGTATGTGTGATCACTGTGGGAGATATGAGCCATGAATAGCAAGACATGCAACCCAGAAGGGCCAGTGGTGCTGTGGACCATCAAGGGCAGCCTGAGCTTGGGTGGGTGACATGTCTGAATGGGTGGCTGGAGGGAATTTCCTAGGGCAGAGAAAATCTCTTTTCCACCACTCACCCCTGCTGCACCTCATCACCTCCCAGCCCAACTAACAAGCACTTTCACCTCTACCAGAAATGTGCCAAAGACCTCGATGGGACTCAAGACTCCAATTGGCACCAGACCAGCAGAATTACAAGAAGAATGAAGAAGTGATGCTGAGTTGCATCGATGGTTTCCAGCCATCCTTCACCAGCGTCAAGTGTGGGAGTGAAGTCCGGTCCATCACTCATGGGAAACCTGTATACAGGGAAGTCTGGCTTGGAAGGGACAGCAAAGGTGTCTGGATTCGCATTCGGTCCAGAGTGGAGTGCCTGGGTAAGGGAGGCATGAGGAGCTCTCCTTTCTGGCCCCCCGGAGCAGGGGAAGCAGCAGGCTGTGTGTGCACAGGAGGTTTTGTGCTCTGCCTGCCTGGGGACACGGCAGGTGCTGCTGGGGGCAGTGTGGAGGCAGCCCCTGAGAATGCACTGCATAAACCCTGAGGTTCACCGGTGGGTGGGAGGTTCTTGCTGAAGGTGCAGATGATAGAGTGTCCCTGAGGGCTTCTGACAAGAGCATGGGCACAAATAAGGGAAACATGGGAGAGCTATATGTGGTGGAGTTTGTGGTGTGTATGGGATCACAGGTGGAGCAGGGATATCCCGGGCTAGGACAGTGCAGCTGCGTGTTCCACAGCTTGTTCGCCCTCAGGCTAATCCACTCCAGGCTCTGTGTCATGGTGAGCACAGGCATGGCACCATCTTCTCACAGCCTATGGACACTGAGATGTCTGCCAAGGGAGAACAGCATGATAGTGGGCTGATTTGGGAACCTGGTAAGGGGTCCCCGAAGTTTTGAAAAAATAGTCTTCTGCTGCTCTCCAGCTTACTGAGTGTCCAGAGAGCTGGGCCACAGGCAGGTTCCAGGGCAGGTTCCCAGCAGGCAGCTGTGAGCATAGGTAGTGTGGGGGGCTTGGGAGAGGGGAAGGTGTGCTTCTCCTGTGTCTGCCCTGTCTGGGGACAGTTCCATGCATGGTACCAGCTTTTAGGGTCCCCTTGGGTATTTTGCTCACTTTCTGTGGCAGATTCCTGAAGCCTGAAATAGCCCTGGCTTCTTAGATGTTGCCACAAGGCATCAGGGTCAATGCTGGTCCATCAGTCACTGTGCAAGCTTTGTGCATAGTACAAGCCCCTCTTGGGTGGTCCCAGCCCCTCGAGTTCCTGGACACTCCTGGGAGGCCTGGAGGAGGACCTTTTCTCCTTCTTCCTTTCCAGGGAATGTTGTGTGAGAGGGCTACTTTGTATGGTAACCTAGAGCTCCATCTCTGATAATAATGCCAGGGAAAACAAACCTTTATCCTGGGCTCTGTGCAGAGCCAGAAATGTCTAGATCTTCATAAGAGTTGTATCTGGTGGATGAGTCTGGAGATGCTGGGACCCACATGCTCCTCAGTTTTGAGTTGCTGGGGAAAATTGCCTTGAGCAATACTAGTCCACACAGTCACCCACATTCATTCCAAACCAGACTTCTGCTGCTGTCCCACCAAGGGACCTGGCGTGTCGAGTGACCTCCTGGCTGGGTGGGGAGCAGAGCTGTCTGACCAGAGCACCATTCCAAGGCTGGGAAGGAAGTAGCTCTCTTGAAATGTTTCCTTCACAGATATCCTCCAGGTTGTTCCTGGGACCTTGGAGATTTCCAGCACCAGCATCAAACTGAACTGGACCTGCAGGCTCCCTGACACCTGCCAGGAAATGCTGGCCATGTGCCGGCTGGCAGAGCACTCCTCAGCTCCCTGTGAGGCTGAGGAGGTGAAGGGAGAGGAGAGGCTACACGGCCAGGAGGGAACATTCACTTGTCAGTCTCTTCAGCCTTTCACTCTCTACAGTGTCACCATCTCCCTACCCCCTAGCACCATCCTGTACTCCTGGTTGGCCAGAACAGAAGAAACAGGTTTGTGTATAGAGTATAGAGAGAAGGGACAGCCCTGGGCTGGGTCACAGGTAGGGGAGGTGGGTCAATATCCCCTTTGCCCCACAGCTCAGCCTCATCATCTGATCCCTCCCTGTAGGGATAGTCCTGGTACTGGGGTTGTTTGGAGCCTGTGGGGCTTTGGGGAAGGTGCAGTGCAGGTGCTGGGGCACAGCACATCCCCTCCTCACTCTCCTGTGGGTCAGGAGTTGCCTGTAGCTTGTTCTGGGCTCACACCCTCCTCACTGCCTCTTTCTCCTGTGCTTCCAGTGCCAGATGCACCCGAGGACTTGCAGCTGGATCCCAGCACGGGGTTCCTCAGGTGGAAGGCGCTGCCCCCATGCAAAGGGGAGATCCTTGGATACCAGGTACCTGGGAACCAGGGACTCCCATATGGTTCCTCTCCCTTCTTCAGGTGCCCATACCCAGAGCTCTCTGCTGGCAGCCTGGGGAGAGTGGGGAAGGGAAAGCCATGATGACCTGGGTCTGGCTGTGACAAGCATGACCATTTTTTGTCTCACCTTCACTATTGCTCATGCTGTGAAGTTGCCTTGAGAGGTGGTGGGTGCTCCCTCCCCTCTGGGCTTTCTCCCCATGTCCACTAAGCCTGGGGTATAGTAGAATTTGTGGCTGGGTGTGCAGTACTTGGTGATGTGCCTGTGGGGGTGGTCTCCTAGGGTTTCCTGTGCCTCTTGCATGCTTCTGCTTAGTTCCTGCCACAGGAAAGAATGTGGTTTGAGTCACCCTCTAAAAACTCATCTTCTTCTGGTACAGTTGCATAATTCTTTTGAGTTTTCCTCAGTGTGTGGCAAGAAGCACCAAACCTCTGTGGGTTTCAGGTTCTTCTCAACGTGCATCCCAGCTTTCTAGCAGTGATGGGGAGGTGAGACCCTTATTGTTGTGTCATGCTCCCCTAGGACAGAGCTCTGCATGGGGTTACACAGGTTCTTCATGCCACTCTTCTCTCTTTCCTTGGGACACTGGCAAACAGGGGTCCTGATGACATTGCTTGTAGGTCTATTCAGCTGGTTCCCTGCTCCCAGACAGCTCTGTTTGTGAAAAGAACCCTTTTCTGGCTGCAGCTAGCACCTATTTTGTGTATTTCCAAGATGCCATTTCCATAAAGAACCAGACATAAGTGCGGATGGCCCAGAATTGCAGGAGAAATTCAGACAATGCATGGGCAAACGTGAAGACTCCATGTGGATCTTTTGCGCATCTGTATCTCTCATCTAGATCTCTCTTGCTCTTTTCATGTATTCGAAACCCACAGACTCCAACCTTGCAGAAGAACAAAAGACAAGTTCAGGGCCCCTCACAGAGGGGATGTCACCACCGGGCCTGCAGTGTTGCAGTCCCACACCCTGACCTGGCCTCTGGCTCCTTACACATGCACACGCCTCTCCAAAGCAGCCGGCCTCCCTCTGGCCCTCAGCTCTTCCTCTTGCCAGCCTGGAGCTCCAGGCACGGGGCCCA